TTAATGTGTGATGGACTTTTGCCCTAGATCAGGGGTGGGAAATCTGCGGCCCTCCAGATGTTTTGGACTACATCTCCCTGTGGGCCATAATGCTAGCAAAGCATCAAGGGAGATGTAGTCCAAAACATCTGGAGGGCCACAGATTGCCCACCTCTGCCCTAGATATATGTGTTTTATATTGAAAAATCTATAAAGAAAAAAAAAAAACAACTCAGTGACCAAGCAAAAAGGAGACTTGTCAGGGAGCCAAGAAGATTGATCACTTTAAAGGAGATGCAGAAGTCAGTGGCTGAGACTTGAAAAAAAAATTCTTGACAAAGACCCTTTCAGGGGTCAAAACGTTGCTGTGTCTCACTTATCCAAATAAATAAAATTGAAGATACTTGGAGTGCCTCGCACAGAGTTGACTTAGTTGTTGATTGTGGCCTGTGGAATGTTGGTCCACTTCTCTTTAATAGCTGTGCAAAGTTGCTGGATATTGGAAGGACCTGGAACACGCTGTTGTATACGTCGATCCAGAGCATCCCAAACATGCTCAATGGGTGATGTGTCTGGTGAGTATGCTGGCCATGCAGGAACTGGGATGTTTTCAGCTTCCAGGAATTGTGTACAGATCCTTGCAACATCGGGCCATGCATTATCATGCTGCAATATGAGGTGATGGTCGTGGATGAATGGCACAACAATGGCCCTCAGGATACCATCAATAAAATGCACCTGTGTTCGTTGTCCATAACATATGCCTGCCCATACCATACCCCACCACCACCATAGGCCACTTTATCCACAACATTGACATCAGCAAACCGCTCACCTACACAACGCAATACACGCTGTCTGCCATCTGCCCTGTAAAACTGGGATTAATCCGTGAAGAGAACACCTCTCCAAAGTGCCAGATACCATCGAATGTGAGCATTTGCCCACTCAAGTCGGTTACGACGATGAACTGCAGTCAGGTCAAGACACTAATGAGGATGACGAGCATGCAGATTAGCTTCCCTGAGACAGTTTCTGACAGTTTATGTAGAAATTCTTTGGTTATACAAACCGATTGTTGCAGCAGCTGTCCGAGTGGCTGGTCTCAGATAATCTTGGAGGTGAAGATGCTGGATGTGGAGGTCCTGGGCTGGTGTGGTTACACGTGGTCTGCGGTTGTGAGGTTGGTTGGATGAACTGCCAAATTCTCTGAAACGCGTTTGGAGACGGCTTATGGTAGAGAAATGAACATTCAAATCACGGGCAACCGCTCTGGTGGACATTTCTGCAGTCAACATGCCAATTGCACGCTCCCTCAAAATTTGCAACATCTGTGACATTGTACTGTGTGATAAAACTGCACATTTTAGAGGGGCCTTTTATTGTGGCCAGCCTAAGGCACATCTTTGGAATAATCATGCTGTCTAATCAGCATCTTGATATACCACACCTGTGAGGTGGATGGATTATCTTGGCAAAGGAGAAGTGCTCACTAACACAGATTTAGACAGATTTATAAACAATATTTGAGAGAAATAGGCCTTTTGTGTACATAGAAAAAATCTTAGATCTTTGGGTTCAGCTTATGAAAAATGGGGGCAAAAACAAAACTGTTGCATTTATATTATTTTGTTCAGTGTATATGTCTATAATATATTATATTTTTTCTAAAATACAAATGATCAAATTGCTAATTGGTAAATATATTGAACGTTAATTGAACTAACAGTGATTTATATTATAGGTTACTATGCTTAAAATGATATTTCAATTAATTTCTATACCACTACATAGAAATATCCTACATTGGTTGTATACAGAGAATCTGTGTATTATTCATATATTAATCATATTTAGTATACACATTTGTTCAGCTGTTTTGTGTTAGACCTTTTGCTTAAATATTTTAGTTCTTAGTGACCTTGGCAGGCATTTGTAACACTATAATTTACATTGCTTAAGTAATTTCACTTTCTTACACAAATTATTCATGTTGAACATTTGTTAAAAATCACGCATTGTTACCTTACAGCTCAATAAGCCTCTCTCACTCTCTCTTTTTTGTTTGTCATTCTTTATTTTTGAAGGACATTAGTTTGTACATGAATAGACATTGACAAATGGCATTGCACAAGGATACGAGACATGGTTACAACATTGTTTTGTGAACGATGATGAGCTGCTCCCTTTTTTTCTTTGGTAGGAAAATTATATCAAATACGTAAGAAACAGGCAATGTGAAAATAAAGCATAAGAAAAGTCATCTTGATGGTAATTCTTTTAAATTTGGAATGATATACTGATAACATACAATTCATGGACAATCCCCCTGTCAGACTGACAATGGGAGAGCATAGCTTAAGCGTATTAGACTATCGTCTATGGGCAAATGCCTTTTGACGCTTTATGTGGTTAAGGTAGAGAAGAAGCCTTTTTTCTTATTATATGTTTATATTTAATTTTTGTTTTGTGGTGCATGGCAGAGCTGTCAATATTATTAAGAAACAGGGATAAATTAAGAACATACAGGGACCTTAAGATATTTTTTTCCCACAAACTTAGCAAGCCTCAAAGAACAAATAATGTTTTGAGGCAGTGAGCTAATCACAGAACTAAGGTCCTGCTTAGCAAATTTCATCTCTCCGTTGTTAGTAGTGGCGATTGGAAGCAGCAACTGTGGGTCCACAGGTCAGAAGAAAACCAGTACGTGAACAAAAGAAGACCCAAACAGACACTAAGGTCTGAATTATTTCAAGGGTAAGGCTAAAACTTATTTTAGCCTTACTTATTTTTATCTTTATTAAAGTGGCATTAGAGTTGAGCGGACAGCTGGATGTTCAGGTCCGGCGGGTTCGGCCGAGCTTTGAAAAAAAGTCCGGGTTCGGGCTCGAACTTGACCCCAAACTTGACCCCGAACCCAAAACCCATTAAAGTCAATGGGGACCCGAACTTTTGGGCACAAAAATGCCTCTAAAAAGCCCTGGAAAGGACTAGAGGGCTGCAAAAGGAATTAAAATGGGGGTAAGAGTAGGACAAGTGCCCTGCAAACAAATCTGGATAGGGAAATCACTTAAAATAACATTAAAAATACAGCTGAGCCATAACATAGCACTAGATGGAATCTTTGATTTTAGCTTTGGAAGAACATAAATCAAAATCTAAAGCATGGCTGTCAGGAGGATCACCAGAATTATCCATTTGAGAGAGGGTTGGAGTGCAGGATATTCTCTTTCATTGTTCAAACTGAGCCCAACTCCTGATGCATGGAGAAAAGGCCTTCACAAGCCTCTGCTGTTGTGTACATAGTTTATACTACGTGACCCACAGGTTGAGGAGGCGGTGACCGTGGCAGTGTAGGTGGAAGCAGAAGTGGAAGTAGGTGGAGGAGGAGGAGATAGCCAACACTGTTTTTTTATTTTCATTTATTTTATTTTATTTTTTTTGTTTTATTTGGGTAGCCCCCAAAATATTGGGACATATAAAAAAAGAAACATTTGCGGCCTGCGGTGCATTTCTTGCAGTCCTGATGCATGGAGAAATTCTCAACTCCTGATGCATGGAGAAAAGGTCTTCACAAGCCTCTGCTATTCTGTACATAGTTTATACTACGAGACCCATAGGTGGTGACCGTGGCGGTGTAGGTGGAAGCGGCGGTGGAGGAGGAGGAGGTAGCCAACACTTTTTAAACATTTTTTATTGGGGTAGCCCCCAAAATATTGGGACATATAAAAAAAGAAACATTTGCGGCACATTTGGTGCATTTCTTGCAGTCCTGATGCATGGAGAAATGCTCAACTTTTGATGCATGGAGAAAAATCCTTCATAAGCCTCCGCTATTGTGTACATAGTTTATACTAAGTGATCCATAGGTTGAGGAGGCGGTGACCGTGGCGGTGTAGGTGGAAGTGGCGGTGGAGGACGAGGAGGTAGCCAACACTGCTTTTTATATATATATATATATATATATATATATATATATATATATATATATATTTATTTTTTAATTGGGGTAGCCCCCAAAAATATTGGGACATTTAAAAAAAGAAACATTTGCGGCCTGCGGTGCATTTCTTGCAGTCCTGATGCATGGAGAAATGCTCAACTCCTGATGCAAAGAGAAAAGCCCTTCACAAGCCTCTGCTATTGTGTACATAGTTTATACTAAGTGACCCATAGGTTGAGGAGGTGGTGACCATGGCGGTGTAGGTGGAAGCAGCGGTGGAGGAGGTAGCCAACACTGTTTTTTATATTTATCTATTTTTTTTAATTGGTGTAGCCCCAAAATATTGGGACATATAAAAAAAAAGACAACTCTGTTCCGACAACGACTGACCCGTGCGTGCTGCAGCTGAAAATCCACTATCGCCTGCTGCTCTCACAGTTTTATGAGGCGGTGAGCAGGAAGGCCGAAGTTACGCTGCAACACAGACAGGCAAGCAGCAGCAGGAGATGAGGAGGAAGTGCGTAAGGAAGTGTAACGGCGCCTGGCATATTACCGAGAGTCACCCTCAGAGGAGTTTGTCAGCAGGACCTTTTTGGAGGTTCAAGCCTATGTCCTTGCCAATAGACAGAGGGTGAACCCAGATGAAGGAAGAAGGGAGCAGAGGGCGCCGGGAAGCACAACCACCCTGGCCCACAAGCTACCATACAATGCCTTCAAAGACTTCAAGGAAGCAGAAGAAGGCATCGATTACTTTTTACAGGACTTTGAGCGCCAGTGCCTACTCCAAGTCGTGGACCCCAGCGACTGGGTCACCATCCTGGCCAGCAATCTAGTGGGGAAGGCAGCGGATATTTACCGGGCTGTACCAGAAGAGCAGATCAGAGACTATCACTTTATTACACAAATCCTCCTGGCCCGGTATGCGGTCACCCCCGAGCAATAGCAGCGAAAGTTTAGGGAGACCCAGAAAGGGGAGAAGGACTCCCATGCGGAGTGGGCATGCCGCATCACAAGGGCCACCCAGAACTGGCTCAACTCCCATCAAGCCAAGTTCCCGGAGGAGATCACCCAGCTCGTCATGCTAGAGCACGTTTTCAATGGGCTCCCCAACGACAAGGCGATGACGCATTCGTATGTTATCCATATCAACTTTCGATGCAATTTACTGCGCCTACCATGGTGACCACGGGTAACGGGGAATTAGGGTTCGATTCCTGAGAGGGAGCCTGAGATACGGCTACCACATGCAAGGAAGGCAGCAAGCACAAAAATGACAAATTGACAATCAATACAATCCAGGTCCATCCTTACCCCATCTGAAGGTCTTTGCTCACTTTTAACTTGCATAAGACTGGTAATGCCTCTATGAACTATTTCTGATCTGTATTTTTGCACTTTTAATAATGTTTACCATTTTTTACTATTTTGTTCAATAAACTGGTTTTTTAATACATAGATCCAGTTTCAGTATTGCTTCAGTCCATAGTGATACATTGTTTGTAGTACAAGAGCAAACTGTTCCACATACTGTGTTGCTAAATTACGTAGATACATTTAACTTTGATGATCCAAAGTATATTATTTGGAGAGGACATCATCTACCCTATACTGCATTATGGATAGAGATACCTGCTCTGCACATATATATTGGCTGCACACCAATCCATTTATTCTATTTATTATATTCCATTTTCCTTCTTTTATCTGATTTTATTATATTCTATTTTTCCCCCCACTTTTATTTATTATTTTTTATGTACTTACCTTCTTTTTTCCTACTCCTTATCTTTTACTACTCTTATTGCTTTTTTTTATACTTCTATTTTCTGATTTTATTCATTTTTTCTCTCTCATCCACTTTTTATCACCAATCCCTTATTGCATTTAAAGACACAATACCTAGTTTTTATTTCAACTGATTCTTCTACTTTATTGTAATTTATCTCATGTGATTTTCCACTTACTTTATTTGAGCCATTATCACAAGCCAGCTCCTGGATTTTACACACTATTCTTTTAGAGTGTTCCCATCTACCTTTTCCAATATAGGTTTTTAGTGAATCCCTATTATTTCCAGCTGGAGCGACTTAGTGTCAGTCAGACTCCCTCCCCCCTGTGTGTTACATTAGGTATACCAGTACGTGTTCTCTCTCTACAATATTGTTATATTGGTATTTGACTGTTCTATTTGACTCTCAGATATGAAGTGCACCGCAGGCCACAAATGTACTATTTAGCAGCCAAAAAATGTGAATGTTTAAAAATGCTGTGTCACAGCACTATTTGACGCTTCTATTTGACTCTCAGATATGTGAGCACGCCCAAAATGTACTATTTAGCAGTTTAGCAGCAAAACAATTTGAATGTTTATAACTGCGCTGTAACCACACTATTTGATGCTTCTATTTGACTCTCAGATATGAAGTGCACCCCACTAATGTACTATTTAGCAGATTAGCACCCAGGAAATAAGAATTGTAGCGGACCGGCAATATTAAATCCCACGAATTCTGCTGGTACATACAGTAATCCACAGTCAGCGCTGAAAAGCAAGGCAATATCCCAAATCCCCCAGTAACCGGATGAAACACAGTTCTGGGAGTCAACTGAGGTCTTATGCAAGAGGTAACCCCTATGCAAGGGGTTTCCATACTGCCTTAGCAGGGGTAATACAGTAGGGGACTTCACATTCTGGGCATTTCTCCCATCAAGCACTGCTGCACGAGAGGGATACTCCCACTGGAATATACTGTTAAGTGGATTATCCCTCCGTGCAGCAGAACTGGCAATCTATATTAAAATACATAACTTTTCGAATACTTGACAGATTTAAATGAATGGACGTTCGGTAGGGGTCTGAGCACACCGTTTGTGAGAATACCGCTCAGATCCCAGCTAAAACAACCGAACGCCGCCCGAAAAACACATTATTCATAACACAAGTTAAAAGTACCAATTGACATAGATGGACCAAACTACCGAATGGCCCGGGACTCCCGAACGGTCTGGAAGCCCAGCGGTGTTCGCGCCGTCGAGTAGCCGTGTTTCAGTTCCATGCGCTCGACGACCAAACACCGCTGGGGAACAAAGGATCCAAGATGGCCGACCGCCGCGTGGTCGGTAGCCGAACGGCGGCCACCTAGGAGAGCCTCTAATTACCGATTGCAACATTGTTGCAATCGGTTAACAAGCGTCACACGTCCCTTAGTGTGTGGGCTATTAAAAGGTAGTTCATTCAGTTCACGAACGGCTCGCAAAGGTGCCGTTCATGAAACGAAATAGAAAATGCCTATCTGCTTTCGGCAGATAGCCAATACAAGCAAAACAGCATACAGGATACAGCAGATTACAACCAGGCACATACACAATGCTATTAAAGATACAGGCAATCCTTAAAAACATATTGTCTCTGTTTAGTCCAAGTGGCTAGGTTTGCCACAAAGAATGTTTACAATTGCACTGTAACCACACTATTTGATGCTTCTATTTGAGTCTCAGATATGAAGAGCACCCAGGGCCGGCCTTAGGCAATTAGGCGCCCTGTGCAAAAAGTCTTCACGGCGCCCCCCCCCCACCTCCCACCAAGTTGCCTGAATACAGTAACACACACAGGCACCGGGGACGTGTGTATCACGAGGCAAACAAGGCATCTGCCTTGGGCGCCACTTTGCAGGGGGCGGCAAAAAAAAGCATCCCTCCAAACCCCCAGGCAGATCCCTTGCTTGCCTCGCATCCTGGGGGGCTCAAGAGCTGACCGGCTGGCCACTTTTGAGCCCCCCCAAGGCTGGCAGCGGGCAGCGAAGGAGCATACTCACCTGAGCTCTTCCTGCTCAGCTTCCTCTGCGCCGCTTAATGAAGCCGGGAGCCAGAATATGACGTCAGTCCGGCTCCCGGCATCACTAAGCGCTGCTTACTCAGCCTGTGCGCCCCCTGCCTGCCTGCCCAGCAGCCACACTGGACTGCTGGTAAGAAATCCACTCCAGCTTTCCCAGGGAGGCTGGGTGGATTTAAAATAAATGTAAAAAATATTAGTTTGTGAGTGTTAGTGGAAATGTCTGTGTGTGTGTCTGTGAGTGTTTATTTTGAAGTGAATGTGTGTGTGTGTGTGTGTGTGTGTGTCTGTAAGTGTGTAATTGTGTGTGTCTGTAAGTGAATGTGTGTGTGTCTGTGAGTGAATGTGTGTGTTGGTCAGTGAGTGTATATGTGTCAGTCAGTGAGTGTGTATGTGTCGTCAGTGAGTGTGTATGTGTCGTCAGTGAGTGTGCGTCTGTCAGTGAGTGAGCGTCTGTCAGTCAAAGTGCGGCCTTGACAGGAAGGGGTGGGGGAAATTTAAACTCGGTTACAGGCATGTACACACACACTCAGTTAAAGGCAGTCACACATACAGGCACAGGCACAAACAATGGCACAGCTACAGCGACACACACAGACAGACAGTCACATAGGCAGTCACACACACAGACAGACACACAGTAACACACACATAGACAGTTATACACACACAGGCAGTCACACAGATAGAAAGTCACACACACAGGCAGGCAGTCACACACAGACAGATAGTTACAGACAGACACACACAGACAGACAGACACACACAGACAGACAGTCACACACACGGGCAGTCACACACCCGGGCAGTCACACACCCGGGCAGTCACACACCCGGGCAGTCACACACACGGGCAGTCACACACACGGGCAGTCACACACAGAGACAGTCACACACACAGAGACAGACAGTCACACACACAGAGACAGACAGTCACACACACACACACACAAGGACAGGCAGTCACACACACACACACACACACACACACTTACCTCTTTCTAGTGGATGCAGTTGGCTGATGGGGAAGCATCTTTCCCTCTTCCTGTACAGCAGGGGCTTCGGGAGGTATTAGCCCCGTCTCCGCCTCTCGATAAGCCCCGCCTCCGCCGCTCGGTAAACCCCGCCCCCTCTGCCGCGATTTTTTTTTTAAATAGACCCGGGTGGAGAACAATTAATCCTCCAGCCAGGTACCTCTTTTAGCTCCCCTGCACTCCGGCCATGAGTGAGCTGTGTCGGCCACAGGGCGCCCCCTGTTCCATGGCGCCCTGTGCGGTCGCACAGCTCGCACACCCCTAAGGCCGGCCCTGAGAGCACCCCACTAATGTACTTTTTAGCACCCAAAAAATTTAAAGTTTTAAAACTGCAATGTGACAGCAGTATTTGACACTTCTATTTGACTCTCAGATATGAAGAGCACGCCCAAAATGTACTATTTAGCAGATTAGCTGCAAAACAATTAGAATTTTTACAACTGCGCTGTAAGCGCACTATTTGACGCTTCTATTTGACTCTCAGATATGAAGTGCATCCCACTAATGTACTATTTTGCAGATTAGCACCAAAACAATTAGAATGTTTACAACTGCGCTGTAACCACAGTGTTTGACGCTTCTATTTGACTCTCAGATATGAAGTGCACCCCACTAATGTACTTTTTAGCACCCAAAAAATTTAAAGTTTTAAAACTGCAATGTGATAGCAGTATTTGACGTTTCTCTTTGACTCTCAGATATTTGCAGAATTCTTTCCTAATCTGTCACTGAAAGCGGCAGCATCCTCTCCCTACACTAATAAGAGCTCATGTGACATGCGGCGCTATGTGACTCCAGCTTATATATAGAGGCTGGGTCACATGCTGCACTGGCCAATCACAGCCATGCCATTACTAGGCATGGCTGTGATGGCTTCTAAGGGCACACGAGTCAAACGCTTGTTGATTGGCTGCCCTGCAGCCTTTCAAAGCGCGCCATTAAATCGCCGAACACCGAACTCCAACCCGAACATACAGTGATATGTCCGTGTTCGGGTCCAAAAAACTTAATGTTCGGTACGGACCCAAACTTTACAGTCCGGGTTCGCTCAACTCTAAGCGGCATATAAATGAAAAAGAAATCCCAAAAATGGTTTTACTCCTTTCAATGGAGGAGGACTCTAATGGTTATTGTGCATGGAGTGTTACTTTAAGGTGTTTCATCACTTTAGTGCAGTCATAGAATGTTGGGTCCCAAAGTGGTTCTATCTAAAATGTCTGCCTTGTTATCACACACTTGTTTGACCCGGTTTCAGGCAGAGTGACTCTCTTAAGGAAAGACTGGCAACGGGGTAAATGTCCCCTGGGCCACTAGCAAGCAGGGGATGTTGGCTACAGGCTAACTCTTATCTTGATTAAAAACAGCTGAAGGTGCATTGGGATGTCTGTTGATGTA